GGGGGCACATTTTTGATTGCTGCGCTCTAGCATTAGCTGTGTGACATGAGGCAAGGTGTGTCATGGTGCTTTTTCTTATCACCTGGAAAACAGGAGTGACACCTGTTCTGGGATGGAGTCGAGAGTCTGAGAGACACTGTGCGAGGGACTGGCACAAAAAGCTCTCCGTAAACTGCAGTTACTATTACTGTCCCTTTTTAATGTCTTCGTTTCTAAGAATAGATAGCCCTTTCCTCCCCTCCATCGTGGACCCTGGAACATCCGTGACTGTGATGTGTCAGCAGGGGTCTCTGAGAGAAGGTCCCTGAGCAGAAGTTAAAAATCAGGTGTGAAGAAGGAAGGGCTGGGCCGGGGGCTCTGAGTGACCTTCACTGCAGTCAGAGGCTGGGCGGGAACCAGCTTGTGCTCAGAGAAACTGGACAGTGGTCGCTGTAACCCACACAAGGGCTACGGGTCCAGACATCAGGAGCGACGACATGCCTTGAGCCCCCAGTCCCCGCAGAGCCCTGCACGAGGCCCCACTTCCTTTACAACAGAATCCGTACCACAACCCACTCTGAAGGGTTGCTTTCCTTTTACAGATGTGGAAACTGAGGCACGGGGAGGTTAAGTAACTAGCCCAAGGTTGTGTATTAGGATTTAAACCCAAACAGATCAATCTATTGAAGCCTGTATTTCCTTTTAAATTGTTACATACTTATAGTGGGTGATAGATTTTTTGTGTGTAAATAACTCATACGTATGGTTTTTTTAAAAAAGATGCAAGCCATTCACGAGGACATATAAATGAAAAGTAAGGCTCCTTCTTATATCCTGTTGACACCACCCCAAGAGCCGTCACTGTCACCAGTCATTGTGTGCGCTTTCACACTCTTCACATAAAAGGCTGGGCGGCGGTTGGGGGATGTGTGTATTATACTGGTCTTGCTCCTGTCTAGGAAAGGATGCTTCTCCGAGCTTGTTCCCATTGCTGCGAGTTCCCCCTACATCCTGTTTGCAGCCACCTCCTCTGTCTGGCTGTGCTCTGTGCGGTGAACCAGGCCGCTGCCGGTGGGTGTTAGGCTCTGCCCGCTGCTCCTGCCACGGTGCTGCAGCACCCACCCTGTGCCTGCATCCTTGGGCCCATGGGCTGGACTCCTGGAAATGGATTTACTGTGCTAATGACCCTGTGCATTTTACGAATTGGTAGATGTTGCCAAATTTCTCTGCAAAAAAAGGAGGCCTGTGCTCTTTACCACATTGTTGACTAATACCTTCCTTTATCATTGCTTTTTTAACTCACCTGCTGAGAACCGATTGATGCCGCCACACACAAATGGCCCGTGTAGGTTCCACTGAGACCACAGGGGTCTGTCATGTGAGGAGCTCTATCCCTCAGGGTCCTGTATCCAGACCACACTCTGAGGTTTCTGCGACACTCAGGCATCAGCGGAGACAAAGCCCAGAGCCAGTACTTGGCCCCAGGCTTGGGTTTTCCAGGGTGTGTCACCTCCTGGCGAAGGACCCTGCTGTCCCAGGCCTGAGATTCTTTTGGCCCCGGGCACTTTCTGTTTTTGCGAACTGCTTGTCTCTCCTGTTTGGATGAACTGGCCTCCTGGCACTAGATGTGGTCAATGTCCTCTCTCACCCCTGACTTTCTAGAAACTGCCTCTATATTTAGCCTTGTTGCACTGTCCCTACCCCCTTCCTGGAGCAGAGGTATAATTGCCAACCATCCAGAGGATGACAGGGTCCAGGCTCAGGGCAGCGGAGGCAATAGGCTCCTATGGAAACCCGAGGCTCTGGGTTCTCAGAACCCAACCAGCTCACAGGCAATTAGCATTGGGAAGAAGGCAGGGCAGGGTGTGGCTCGTCAGGACAAAGCACAGAGCCGGAGCTGGCCAGTCTGGCCGCCCTGACTCCTCTGGGGCAGAGGCTAGATGACAGCCACGTGTGTGGAGGTGCTCTGAGAAGGCAGGAGAAGGAGGAGGAGGTCGGCCATGGAGCCCGTGGAGTCTGTGTCTCGGCGAACAGCCATGCTGGGACGGACATGCCTGAGAGGCAGCTCTGGGGTCTGGGCGCCAGAAAGGACCCGGGTCTGCCCGTTGGAGCTGGCGAGGGCGCTCTCCATCCCCCAGACGCTGAGCCACACTCCAGAGCCTGGTGATGTTCTGTGTGATGTGTGAACTCTGTCTTCCCATCTAGAATTCCAGGGCCTTTCCTCTGTAGCTGTATTTAGCTTGGGAAGAGCTACTTACTATAAAATCTTTACTTTAAAATTATTTTAAGAAGATTTTATTTATTTATTTTTAGAAAGAGGGGAAGGGAAGGAGAAAGAGAGGGAGAGAAACATCAATGTGTGGTTGGCTCTCACATGTCCCCAACTGGGGACTCACCCTGCAACCCGGACATGTGTCCTGACTGGGAACTGAACCAGCAACTTTTTGGTTTGCAGAGTGGCACTCAGTCCACTGAGCCACCCAGCTAGGGCTGTATTTTTTTAAATAATAATAATTTAAGAGCTTCATAAGCTTATTGGCTGCATTTTGCATTGCCCAAATAATGTGGAGACCTACTGCAAGGGTGGTGGGCTTTTGGGAGAAGGTGTGGCAGAGGGTGAAAAGCACAGGTGGCATTTCTGCCACAGGTCTGGGCCCTACTGTGCCTGGCCAGAGATGGTTAACAGTTTCCTTCCTCCCTCCCTCAATTTTTCCCTACCTTCTCTCTTCAACTCCCTTCTCCTCCTCTTCCTTCCTCATCTCTCCTTTCTCCTCCTTTTTTCCTGATACTCCTAAGCTTCATGCTACCATAAAGCTGGAAGCAAGAACACTGCTTTCTTCACACAGCCAGGGCTGGGGAGAGGCTTTGGCTCACGTGTCTGGAGGTGCCCTGTGTGTGATCCCTGGGGGCCCACGGCCTTGGAGAATGAGCGGGAAGAGCCCTGAGCCAGGCAGCACAGTGGGTGGGAGGACAGAGCAGCCCCTCAGCTCCCAGGGAACATGCCTAGTTGTAAAAAATAAAAAGAGAGAGAAAGAGATGAGAGTTTGCTCTGAGTTAGAAACTTCTGGTCTTTGAGTAGGTTTTGAAAATTATGGGCCTTCTGGGCCTGAACATTTTATGGTAACAGGTAGAGCTTCGAAAACCACAAAGTGGAAAGGAGTCGAGTGGGGAACAATCTCAGGTCCTGGAGTGGACGGCTGTGCCCTGCGGTGATGGCAGTGATAAATTTGGGGGACTCCTAGTCGTGCCCGAAGTACTTTCCCACTTTCCCATCATTCTGGAAAGCTGCAGCGGAGGTATGGAAGCTCAAGGCGCCAGGCTGCTTGTTTCCATAAAGGTGGGAGAAACCTGGGATACGGTCCCTGCTGGGTAGTCGCGGCAGGGGCAAGGCACAGCCTTCGGTGGACTGGCTCGGGGCTAGCCACCCCCAATAGCCTCGGCTACTTCACCTCCCTGTGTAGCCTGGTCTGCTGGTTGGTCCCTTGCGAAATGAGGGTTGTGACAGGAGGGGACAGGGGCCAAGGTCCAAAAACCAACAGCAGCCACTTCCTGGACCACTGGGCTGTCCTTCACCTTGAACCATGCTCAAGGGCCAGCTGCCTGGAGCTGTTTGCCTGTGGGCTCAGCTTCAGTGAGTCACTGAGATTCTGGGATAAAACAGTGCCTTCGATCCAGGAAGCTAAGAGCAGAGCCTCATGTCCCTAAGGCTTCCTACCTGGGGGCCTTTACTTCTTGCTGAATCGCCTGAGTGATAAGTTTATTTATGTCAGTGGTCCTTTTCATAAAACAAGGGGGTACACTGACGGTCTTTTGGGTCCCCAAAGGGTCTTAGAGTCCAACTACCTGTGACTGCCAGCAGAGCTGGTCCTCTGGTCTCTTCTCCCATATCTCAAGGGCCATGTTGGTTTGGTCCCCAGGTGTCCATGCCAACTGATAAGTGTGTTTGTCCTGACCCCTGTGTCTGTCCTTGTGAATGTGAACAGTGTGAGTCATTTTCCACCGAGAAGCATAGCAAGTGCATGACGTCTGGACAAGGTGATATCACCAGCTCACCCCCAGGAGTGGGTAAAGGTCAGGCCTGGGCCTTGTGTCAAGGCTTTGGGCATCTACACAACTCCTGGGAAGATGCCGCTACGTGGGGACGAAACGATGCTGCCATCGTCTTTCCCCAGCGAAACCTTGTCACCAAGAGTGGACGTCCCCTTGCCAGGGTCAGGGAGAGAAAGGACAGCCTCTAAGACACAAATGACAGGAAGGCTCTAGGGAGGTGGCCCCTAATAAGCCTGCCAATGTCCCACTCGGTGTGCTTGACAGCAAGAGAGGAAGCAGAACTAGGAAAATGAGCTTACGCACACAGGCGCACTCTTACAACGAACGCCCGGTGATTCCTAACGCAGGACCTTTGAAAGTTTTCCGTTCTTACAGAACCCTTGCTTCCTCTGCCTTTGGGAAAGCCAAGGCCAGACCTCAGGGCCCCCGCCGGCCCATCCGGCCTCTTCTCCTGCTGGGCAGCCTATCTTGATGTCTACAGCTGTGGCGGGGCCTTTTCTCCCTTCTCTCTGCACCTGTGCCCATGTCTGTCCCTGGGTCCGGGGTGCCCTGGTCATAGGTATCTGGGCTCCAGAAAGTTAAGGCTGAGACTAGCATCCTTGCCTTTCATAATGGCTCCTTAAAAGCAGTGAGGGTTACTTTGCAGATTTCAGTATTTAAAAAATGTTCTGCTAGGCTAACTCATTCATCTATTTCCTGTGTAACTAACATGTGGGCAGTAGAGAGCTGTAGAAGTACGTGAAAGCAGTGCTGGGAGCAGGGTTGGTGATGAAGGAGGAGGAAGGCACGGTTGGCACATGTCCAGTGAGGGGCGGGGATCACTGAGAGTGGCCGGGGCTGGGCTGGGCCCCAGCCCTCTGCGGGAGAAGTGTGGATCCGGAAGCCTTGTGGCCAGGTCCCTGCGGTCACAGCAGCCGGGGCTGAGGAGCGGGAAGGTGGGTGACCCAGTGGAGGGCATGTCCTCTCGGCAGGCGCAGCATGAAGCGAAAGGCATTGTTCACCTGTCCTTTCAACGGGGACTGCCGCATCACCAAGGACAACCGCCGCCACTGTCAGGCCTGTCGGCTCAAGCGCTGCGTGGACATCGGCATGATGAAGGAGTGTGAGTGTCCGGGGGCCAGGGCAGGGGTTCGGGGTGGGACTGGGGATAGGGGAGGCTCTGGCTACCGGTTTAGCCAGAGAGGTGTGGCCGCCCTTCCTCTGTAGCTGCGGGCATCAGGGCCGGCCCCCTGGGCAGGGTGGCCGGGACTCCAGGATCAAAGGCAGCAGGGGGTCCCGAGAGCATCTGTGGGATCGGTGTATGGGTCTCAGAGGCCAGGGAGAGCCCCTCTGGTGTGAGGCTGGTGATGGGGGAGGCCGGGAACTGTCTGTGTGAGCACCGGGTTTGTGTTCCTCCGAGGGGTCTTCGCTGTGCTCACAGCTCCCTGGACCTGAGGGGAAAGCAGGAGGCTCAAGGACCCCAGGGCACTTTGGCTTTTGGGGGAGGGGCTGCTGTGGTTGGGGAGGGGAAGAGCCACGGGGAGAAGAAATGCTCAGAGCCAGGCCGGCCCCTGGGCTCTTCCCCAGCCTCCCAGCCCCCTGGCCCCAGGAGCAAATCTGAGGGCTGCTGCCCAGGGCACACTGGGTGGGAAGGTTCTGTGAAGGGAAGCGCTGGACTCTTGGGTGACCCTCTAGATCCAGACAGAGAAAGAAGAGTGATCCTTTAGGACTTCCTGTCCAGCTCTGGGGCTGGAGGAGAGGACCTAGGGGGCATTTTCACAGGTTCTGACCCCTGGACTTTGCATCTGAGCTCTAGTATCAGTTACTTGGTAACCAGAGTAGCCACTGAATTTAGCAGGTCCTGGGAGGGGCTAGCCAGGCCCTCTGGGGACCCAAGGCAAGGGCACTGGGCCGGTCCAGGCAAGGGCGCCCTCTGTACCTTCAGCCCCTGCTTTGCCCCTTGCTCACTCCAGTCTGCATTCGGCTCCCTGGCCCCTCCCCAGCCCTGGGACAGGGCCTGGGTTCTGCAAAGCCATAGGCCCGGGAGGCTGGGAAGGCGTGCTCAGGCGCGGGCACCGTGAAGGCTCTCCTGGCTATGGGCTGTTTTAATGGGGGCAGGGGTAGCAGGCAGTGGTATAAGAAAGATGTATCTAGAACAAGAGGAAAAGTCACAGGACAGGGCTGAGGGGATGGGACATTTCTTCCTCGATGGGAAAAATTTTTTTCTGTTTTTGGGAAACGGAGGCAGAGTGGTGGCCCTCACGTGGGGCTCCCTCCTCAGACCTTGACAGGGTCCACTCTAGTAGGTCTCGGCCCCTCCCTGCCGATCCCAGCTCCCCAGCCCACACCAGCAGCCCTGGAAGAAGTTTCCAGGCTGTGTTCCTCCTCGCCCCCACAGGAACATGCAGGCCCGGACTTGCTCATCGCTCTGTGCCCGGTCCCCTGCCCCGCCCGACTCCCGTGTTGATCCTGGAGCAGTGGAGGCTCGAGGCCTGGGTGCCTCCTGGGGCTTCTCACACGTTGGCTTAGCATGGCTGCTCTCCATGAGACGCCAGCCCGGGCACAGAGCAGAGGTTGCGCCCACAGCCCCTGCCCCCACGACGCACAGCCTGCAGGGGGCAGGGAGCCAGATTCTAAGGCTCCAGCAGACCAGTAACGGCACAGGGTAGCACCGCTGGGAGTCGGTCAGGCTGTGCCGGTCAGGGCCAGCCTCACTGATGTCCCAGAGGCCTCTCTCCTGAGTCTCAGGAGGGAGATGTTCTATTAACCAGGAATGGGGAAACACACTTGGAAATCGTCTGAGACCCAGAAAGGAAAGTATCAGGATTGGAGTCAGAAAGCAAGCTGAGACTAGAATCTGACTCTGTGTCCCTAGATCCCTCCCGGTCCCCTGGAGAGCGCTGCATCCACGGCGATGAGCAGGCCTCAGGGAGTCAGGGGGTCCTTGCCCCAGGACCACCACATGGTGGGGGGCCAGCCATCCAGAAGTGGGTGTCCACCCTCAACCCCCGTTGGCTTTGTGCCTTGGCTACCCCAGCTCTAGCCTCAGTTATCCCCAATGAAGCCCTATGTCCCCTCTCTGCTGTCTGTCCGGCGTGGCCCCATGCCCACCCCGCTCCAGATGCCAGAGCAGGAGGTGATGCTGAGTGCGGGATGGGCCCCAGGGCGCCACTGAGAATGGAAACCTCGCTCCAGCACTAAGCTCTTAGTCCGCTACCCAGAGGGAAGGTCTTCCAGGGACAGGTGTGGTTCCCCGCCTCGGGTCAGCCCACTCCTGGGAGGCCTGCCCACGTGCCTAGGCCTGGAGCTCCCAGCTCATATCCCGAAGATGGCTTCTCATTTATTATCACCGGGGCTGGCTGTGGTCCCCAAGGCCTACCCTTCCAGAGACAACTCAGTGTCAACATCTGTAAACCACAGGAGGCCCAGGGCTCCCTGTGAAGGGAGATGCAAACCCAGGTCCCTTCTGATGGGGCAGTGGAAGTGGCCCTTCACTGGGAGCGCTAAGAAGGTGAAGGGGGTGAGCCTGGGAGTGGAGGTTTGGTGCCCACCTCTGAGCGCCAGATATCTGCCGGGCACGTGCGTTTTCTTGCTAAATTCTTACAACAATTCCTAAATACGTGAATACTTTTTTAAGATTCAATAGATGAGAAAACTCAAAAGCATTAAAATAACACACCTCTAAGGCAGATGATGGTGTCGGCATTCTCGTCTAGGTGTCTGTGTCCCAGGCCCACGGGCTCCACCCCAGTGCAGCCCCGCCGAAGTCGCAGTGTGCTGGAGCTCCCCACTGTGCGTCTCCAGGCACTGCCTGAGGCCCTGCCCGATGAGCTGAAGAGAACTGTGTCCCCTCAAAGCCTCCCTTTCTCTTTCTTCAAGTCCTAGCTGACTTCGTGTCCTTGGAGCCCCCCAAATGTCATAGTTGAGTCCTTGCTTCTGGTGGGCGAGTCTCTCACAGAACGACTTATTGTGCTCACTTGTTTAACATTTCTACAGTTATCCATCTTTTTTTTCTACCACGCATTAGCACAGAACCTGGCACACAGTAGGTGCTCAGTAAACGTGTGCTGAGTGATTGAATGTTAGCTCCCCATTTGCTTCTTTGTGTCAACTACATCTCTCACTGGTCTGTGCATCAGGAAGGCCCGCCAGACCTCATGCCATCTGTGCCACGAATTTGGGACACCTGTATGTCTGCTTCCCTGATGTTGTCCTTAGGCCACCAGCGGCAGCTTGAAATGTTTTTACTGTAAGTTGTTTGCACTTTCAGACCTTGCCTCCCTAACTCAATTCTCTTTCGTGGAAATAGCCCAAAGCCACTTTCTCACTCAGCAAGGAACTTAGAAGGAATGGGAAAAGCTGCTGAAAAGCCACACTTGGGTTTCACAAAGTCCATGTAGGGAAGATTTTTGAATAACGATGCCATGGGAACTAGCTCTCGTTTATGTCATTTAGCCCACGGCAACATTGTTTTCATTCCGTACATGTTGCTTAAAGGCATAGAACCTACTGACCGCCTTAGGTGAGGACTTAACTGTGCGTGCACTTCAGTTTTGGGGGAGCCCTTCAGTTGCTGTTTCAGAATCTGTTTGTTCTCATTCTAGGTCAGTGGCTTTTAACTGTAAAACACACGTCCTCCGGCGTGATAGTAGTGGCATTTTTAGTAGGAATTCATTGAGAGAGTGACAATCTCCTGTGAAATGAATCTCCCCTTTAAACAAATGACATATTTCATAAGTCACAATGGCCTCTGCATGTGTGAGAGACTTAGGACTTCTCGGCCCGCAGATAGCGTGGCTTGGGGGTGGCCCCAGGACTGGTGGCCCTGTTTGGACCAGCAAACCCCAGTGCTTCTTCCTCCGGTGCTACTGTACACGGAACAGGGTCCCTATTTGACACACGTGATCCAGAGGAACAGAATCGCAAGGTTAACACTGAAGCTTTTTTAATTATGTCCTTTCAAAGGAAGTCATTTACAAATGTTGCTACTTTCTTTAATTTTTCACACTCCTCAGATGGATGGGGACCTAGTAAAGTACGTTCAGTGCTGAGGACCTATTAAGCCGTCTTAGCCGATCCTGACTGGGGGCAGTGTGGGGTCACGGTTATAACCATGGACTCTATCTAGAGCCACCCTGGCCTGGCCTGGCCTGAGTACCACCTCCACCCTTGTTAGATCTGTGACTTTCAGCAAGGTACATGGCCTCTGGGCCTTAGTTTCCTCATCTGCAAAATGGGGATAATAACACCTGCCTTAAGTGGTTGTTATGAGGACTAAATAGGTGTGAGTTCGTAAAGAAGAAACCTTTAGAATTGTGCCCAGTTCATAAAAACCTTTATCCATTTTTATTAACACTTTTTTTATTACATAAAACTTGATCACCAGGATTTCCAGCTCCCAAGAGAATGGAAGTAACTCTTCGGGGGGAGAAGGCACAGGTCCAGGGTCAGGCAGCAGTAGGAAGAGATGACACCTAACTGACAGAGAGAGGGAAGCCGAGAGCCACGCGCAGTAGCGAGAGAACCCAGGGTCACGGCAGGCTGAGTCACAGAGTGCAAGTGAGCAGCCCTTTCTAATTCTGAGGCCACAGCCTTGTTCCTGCGAAGTCCAGTCATTTTAATTGTTTGGGATGATGCCTCTGAATCACCAAGAAAAGGTTACATGATATTACAGGTGTGCTGTTACAAGGTATCCTGTGTACAGAATATTTCGGTAACAATCATTTAAATGAAAGGGTACCTCGGCTCAGCTGTCTGGTGGACTGGCATTCACTGGGAGCTACCCCTGACATTGCAGGGTGCATGCAGGCCTGGTGCACCCCTTACTGTCCTTCCCTCAGCCTGGGACAATGACTAGCGCACAGTGGGTGCAATCAACGTGATGTGCTGAGAGTCCAGTATATCAGACTACTGAGCAAGTAGCATGTCCAGGAATCTCCACTGGGCTAGCATTTGCGGGGGAAACAGGACTTATAACATGTGGCTCCTTCCCTTGAAGTAGCCTATATTCCTAGTGAAGGAGAACTTTAACTCCTCAGGCTCTCTCTCTACAGGCATTTATTGGAAACTTTACTAATAATAAATATTTCAGAGTGGAAGGCAATTGGGTGCCAATGCATGTAGGAAAAGCTGGACATACTGCAGAATTAAAAAAGGAGAGCTCAGTGCATGTCCAGGCAATCAAGAAAGCCTTTGTGGTAAGAGAGAGCCAGCTGCAAGCTGGGTGCTGAAGAATAGATAGGACTTGCACAGCTACTGGGGAGAGAAGACCCCACTGGCCAGGCATCCAGCAGAAGTGGAAATACAGAACGAAGGTGAGCAGCTCAGGGTCATAGGTCAGCGGCCCCAACATTAGGAGAGCAGGTACTGGGATATGAGGTTGGAAAGTTAGGAAGAAGCGAAATCACAGAGAATCTTGACTTTAGTTTGGATATGGTAAGCAATAAGGACCCAGGAAAAGTTTCTGAGCAGGAGAGAGACGCCACAGAACCACAGAGTGGTCCGAGCCTGCGGACACCTGTGGTGTGACTGGCGGAGCCAGCTGCCTCTAACTCCAGTCTCATTGCTTCTTGTCCCCACCCCTCGGGTGAGCAGGAAAGACCAGACACCTCATCTAGGGTTCTCCAGGCCAGAGCCTTGCACCCTGCCCTGACCGGGATGCTCCCTGCTCCTTCCTCTCCCAATCCACTTGACCTCTGGGGTCTGAGCAGACGCCCTCTGTGGGAGGAGGGTTGGCAGCATGGGCAGGTGAGTCAGTAACCTGGCCTGGCCTCCTCCCAGTGCTCCTCTTGGTACGGCTTACCTCAGCGGTGGCAGGAGCACGCCATCGCTTGCTGCAGGCGCCCCTTTTCTGCTGTGCCTGAGGCTTTGGTTGCCCACTCTTCCCACCCCCAGGCTCTCTCTCAACTCCCACCAACTTCTTTTCATTCTCCCCCCTCACAAGACACCAGAGCCAGTGGGCCTTTCTTGAAGCCTGGAACCCACCCACTCTGAGGTTCTGGTTCCTTTCCCTGCTCTTGTGAAACTCCCCAGTTCTGTGGGCAGAGGCCCTGGCAACACCAGCACGGAGCAAGCAGCTACAGGCCGAGGGCCCCAGTGCCCACTCCTGCCGTCAGCTCTCGGCAAGCCCCGGCCAAGAGGTCTGTTTGCCTGGCTTCCGTGCCAGGCATCCCTGCTCCCAGCCCCGCCCTCCCGGGCAGCTGCCCCAGCACCGCCCGAACCCCCGCACGGCATGAAGGGGATGGAAAGGCCCCGCATCTTCAGATGCCTGGCTAGCAGCTGGAGAGAACACCCAGGTCAGAACTGTGAGGTGTGGTCATCAGGGACTTCCAGAGGCTTCCACGACTTCCTTGGGCAGAACTTTCCGGACTGGACAGGCTAGGGAAGGTATTATTTTGCAGGGAACCGGAGATGAAAAGTCTTTCTGTGTTGGTCAGAGTGGATGAGAAGCCTGAGTTCCATGCCTGGAAAGTTGGACACGGGAATGGCCACATGGAGGGGTCTTCTCAGCATCTGTGACTGTCCACATGGGGGCTCAGTCACTGTCTCCTCCCGGCTCGTGTCTTGGTCAGGACTAGGGAATATGGGGAGCGGGGAGCAGGGGGAGAATTAGTGCCGAATGAGCAGCTGCTCTGAGCCGGGCACACACTGCATTCAGTTCTGTCCATCTTTCAAGGCAGACGTTTTACTCTGCCCCCCGCACAGACACACTTTATGGACCGAGGAACAAAAATGGGTCCTTGGAGGAGAGTACGTAGATGAAACTTGTCATTTTGTAAGTGAGAGTTCGGTTTGCCCAGGTTCACACGAGGTGTGTGTGGAAAGCCACCCTGCCCAGACCACCCACCTCTTGAGTCCCCCTTTTCCTCCTCTCTCATGCGCCTGCCTTTCCAACATAGAAAATCCCATTTTCCACCCACAGAGTGGGCTTGGCCTCCCATGAGGCAGGAGGCCCCTTCCCACCCCTTCCCATGAGCTCCCAGTGTGTGTGCTGGCGGGGAGCGGCCCTCCCATCTTGTGTCTTCAGCAACCAGAGAGGAAGGTGTCTTGGAGGAGCTGGAGGCCCAGCCCTGGTGATGTCCCACTCCCACCCACAGTCATCCTGACGGACGAGGAGGTGCAGCGGAAACGAGAGATGATCATGAAGAGGAAGGAGGAGGAAGCCCTGAAGGACAGCCTGCGGCCCCGGCTGTCGGACGAGCAGCAGCACATCATCGGCATCCTGCTGGACGCCCACCACAAGACCTACGACCCCAGCTACGCCGACTTCAGCCAGTTCCGGGTGCGTCTGCCCGCTGGCCGGGAAGGATGAGCCGCAAGGGGAACCCGGGCACGGAGAGCGGGACCGAGGGTCAGGCCACCCTGACCCAGCAGGCAGGCCCGGGGGGTGCTCTGTCTCTCTCATTTCTCCCCCCCCCCCCATAGGACTTCCTTATGGCTACTCCTGTCAGAGATCAGGGCCAAGGTAGGAAGGTGGCCCAGAAACGTGAGCTGCTGATACTCCATCTTTCTCTTCCAGCCTCCGGTGCGAGGGGCTGAGGGTGGAGACAGCCATCCCAGCAAGTCGCTCTCGAGACACATGCCCAGCTGCTCCGGGGACTCGTCCTCCTCCTCCTGCTCCAATCATTGCAGCACCTCCCAAGGTAACGAACGGGCTGCACCTCCCTCCTCATGAGCTGGGGAGGGGAGCCCAGAGCTTCCCCACCTCTGCCCTGGGCTGCCAGGGGGAGGATGGCACTGCCACGCTGTGGGCCACACTGTGTCCCCAGAACAACCCCTTCTTACTGGAAGAGGTGGGACTTGCCCAAGGGCCGTGCTGGGGAAGACGCCAAGCGGGGCCGGGCGAGGTCTGCCTGCAGAACCTCCGCTCTTCCCACTGAGCCAGGCTTCTGGCCCTGCTCCTTCCCTGGGGCGACCAGCTTCCTCTGCATGGTATGTGGAGCCTGGGCCTTTGGGGGGTTTTTTTTGGTTTGTTCCTTTAGTGTTCCCAGTTTTATTGAGATGATTGACAGATAACACTCAATCAGTTTAAGGTGTACGACATAATGAATTGATACATGTATACATTGCCAAATGAACACCTGTCACCTCACACAGTTGCAAAGACTTGTGTGTGTGATTACTCTCTTAGCAGCTTCCAGTATATCAAACAGGTTTGTGAACTATGTTCATCAGAGCCTGCGAATTTTGGGAGGTGAAATGTGTGGGAGGGGAACACGTGGGGCCCTTTGCTGCCCACCTTACACCGGAGTCCTGGGGGGTCTCACGTCCCTCTTCCACCTTCCTCTTCATCTTCCCTCATCCTCCCTCACACTTGTCCCTCCTCCTCTACCTCCCACCCAGCCTGAACCTCGCTGCCCCTGCTTGGGCCTCCCCCCGCCCCACCCCGGGGGAACGAGGGCCCTCCGGGCTCACTGATGAGTCTGTGCCTAGGTCCGCGAGAGGTGGCAGGGGTCCCAGAGCCCACGGGACAGAGATGGCAGTAGAGCCAAACATGGAGCCCACCCTGCCCCACACTGGTTGCTGTGTGGACCGACCAGCCCCCTGAGCCCCTCACTTGGAACCCGCCCCCCACTTTACAGCACACTCCTCCAGTTTATCATAATAATTTTATGTTATCTAGGAATTTTGGTACCTTCTCATAGGTTAATTGATTTGAGATGCTCACCCCCCCACCAATGTTACAATCTGTATAACATATATTTATTTAAAGATTCAAACTAGTTAACATTTTTTACTTTAAAAAAGTATCACCCAAAAGTAGTACGTGTTCATTGTGGACATTAAGAAAATGCCAGGCAGTGAGAGACAAATGCCATGTGATCTCACCTATGAGTGGAACCTACTCAACAAAACAAACAAGCGAGCAGACTAGAACCAGAGACATTGAAATAAAGAACAAAGTGACAGTGAGGGGGACAGGGTGGGGGAGGAGAGAGTTAAGGGGGGGGTGGAGAAGGGGAGGGGTCGAGTCAAGGAACATGCATAAAGGACCCTTGGACGAAGACAAGGGGGGCAAGACTGACTGTGGGAGATGGGTGAGCAGGGCAGGGGAGAGCCGTGGGGGGAAAATGGGGGCAACTGTAATTGAACAACATGAGAAAGTTTTTAAAAAAGAAAAGAAAAAGCTAAATTATATATATATATATCTCCTGTAATTCCACCGCCCATAGACAATCACCATCAGCATTGGGACGTTGCTCTTTCCCATTTTTTTTAAACACCTGTGTGTATTCAGAGATGGAGCTATGTCATACAGAGACTGGTAATTTGCTTTTTCCCCACAAGAATACATTGCATCATATTTTCCTGTCGTTCAGCATACGTCTAGATTATTTTTAAAGGCAGCAGAGCCATCTGGGGTACGCGCAGTAATGTATCTAAATCCCCTATCCCTGGGCATTTGTGAGATTGTTTCCCAGCTTCTCATTAAGATAACTGTGCTTGTGGTTACGTTCTCGCACTTATTCAGAATGTTTTCCTTATGATGAATCCCCGGAAGTGGGGTGGCTGGCGAAAAAGTCCGCACGACTGCGGGAGTTCGACCCCTGCTGCCAGCAGCCCCTAGGTGCCGCGTGGGAAGACCCGAGCCGCCTGCGGTGCCCCAGCGCCGCCCAGGGGCTGCCAGCTCCCCGCGTCTTCGTAAATGCTGGTGTCAACACTGAACCGCGTTTGTTTCTAGTTTCCAGGTGAAAAATGCAAATGCTTTTACTTGGCGATTTTTTGATCACTAGTGAGGTTAAACATTGTTTCCCACAAGCGTACTGGTTCCAAATTCATTTTTGATTTGAGATCATTAGAAACAAGATTCGAGGACGTCAGATCATGGCTCGAGGACGCCTCGTTTTTCAGAGGACCTGCGATCTTTGGTTTGACCACCCCACTCGGCTGAGAGAAGAGACGGGGGGCCCTAGCGGAAAGCCCGGGCTGGCCCACCGGCCAGGGCACAGCGGGTCCTCCCGGGGCCGCGCGGAGGAAGCCTGCCTCCAGTGTCCTCCAGCAGTCCCTTTTCTCCCCTCGTCTCCTGCAGACGTGATGGGGACGGCCAGCCTCTCCAACCTGGATCTGAACGAAGAGGAGTCAGATGAGTCTTCCGTGACCGTAGACCTGTCCCACCTCTCCATGCTGCCCCACCTTGCTGACCTGGTCAGTTACAGCATCCAAAAGGTTATTGGCTTTGCCAAGATGATCCCAGGGTTCAGGTAAGAAGCTCTGGGCGTGTCTGGGAAACACAGTTAGAATCCTGGAGTCAGCTGGGAGGAGGCTCGGAGATCACAAATCCACCGCTTCCCAACGTAGAGAGTGAGGCCTTGCCCCAGACCTCCTAAATCAGAGTCTCTGGATGCCGTACTTCAGGAGGTCTGGGTTTCAGGCAGTGCTGCCCACCCAGCATTACTGGGGGGGCCAGCATTACTGGAGAGCTATTCACCCGCTACACTTGCTGGGTGGTGTAATGGAAGCCCAGCATGGTCGAAAGGTCAACGCCAGGCCTTCCAGTGCTGGAGCCAGTTGTCGGAGCAGGTCCGGAACTCTTAGTCCACTGCTGTGCCCTCACCAGCTGGCTTCAATTTAATCCTCATACTGTGCCTTTAAATTAAACCTACATTCGCCCTCCACACTCGATTCTAAAACCAGGATGAAGTGCTAGAGAGGGTGGGGGCTGGGCGCAAAGCCTCGTGAGGTCATGTGGGAATCCTAGAGGGAGACAGATGGACCGGCAGATATGATCTGGGCACCCTTTGCCCAGTTTACCCTTCACTCAAGTCCATTTCCTAACTGTGCTGAGAACTTTTTGGCCTACTGGAGTAGAGATCCTCTGGATTCATTCATATAAATTTCATTCATTCATTCAGGTGTTTTATTGTCTTGGTGGTAATGGCATGTATAATACTTATATTTAAAGAGTCATGCAGTGTCAAATATTCTCCAAATAGTTAAGAGTTGACACTTTTAGTAGATATGTTGGGAAATAGTTATATCTAAACGTATATATACTTATACCCTCATTCTTTAGAACATTGTCATAAAATACATAAATAATGTGGTTGAGAAATAGAAGTAAATTAATACCAAGCAATATTATCATCAGCAATAGTTGTAATCATAGCAGCAGGAGCAGAATGTTTCCTTGATACAGGTGCTCAGATTCAGAGCCGGAGTCCTGGGAGCCAGGACACAATTTGACATTGGCTAGCTCTGAGCAGAAACTGAAGCGGGGTACCGTTTATTATTTTGTGAATCTCTCTGCTATGTAGGGAAGTCAGCAGCCACTGTCTAAGTGACCGCATTACAACCTAGATAATGGTAGTTCGCAAAGCTAAACTCAGCACTTCCCAGTTTGTTTCTGCCCTGAGACAGCTGGCCCTGTTATTCTAAGCCTCTCACCTCTCCAAATACCAGGGATTTGCCAGTGCTCTTTCCCTGGACCTAAATGTGAAAACTCTAAACAAGAGAAAAACATCAAATGGCACTGAGACACATTGTGCATCTTGTAGCAGAGGGAGTGAGGGCCACTCTGGCAGGCAGGCAGGCAGGAGCAGGCCACTGAGTGTCACCTGTGAGCTCAGCATTGTGCTGGGCCTGGGATTTACCCTCCAGAGCCTTTCCTTGGAACAGACAACACATTCCACTCAGTACAAGTTCCAACCTTCTCCTCAACTCTTGTGTTATTGTTTGCAAACTCCATGTGTTCCAAAGTCTTGTTTTATGTAAACAGCTAGAGAAAAAAACACTTCAGGGTGCTGATGGATACACAGTAGCACCCAACTTTCATCTTAGTTCAAGGCAGCAGCTCTCCTGCACGCAGGGTCCATCCTTCCCTGCCTCGTGGGGAGAGGGATGAAAGGGCATCTGATGCCCAGTCCAGATGCTGAGGTCTGGTGAGTCTAAGTGGTAGCGGGGACGGCATGTGAGGGAGCACTGTCCTGAAGAGAAACCCACTCATTTAACCAGATTACCCTGTTGCGGTCCCTCCATTATGTAGCCCAAACCCCCTTTTTCCCCTCCCGTGCCCTTGGCCCCCATCTCTTAACCTCAGCAAACATGCCCTTACACGACCGTCATGGCCAGCCCTTCAGTTTCTCTCCCCAGGGTGAGCTGAAGTCCGCCCCGTTCCTTCCCTTTCAAGCCTCATTTTGCAGCGTTCCTTCCGCGAGCCCTGCAGTTGCGGCCAAGGTGGCGCGCACATGGGCAGGTACAGGAGCTGTCCAGTTACTGATGCCAAGCCACTTCGGTTGGTCCTGAACCTGCCTGGATGGCCTTCTCTCTCCCCAGCCTGACTCGAGAAGTCCCGGTGCAGAGTGTGTTCTAACAGAAACGCAGCAGGCCCTGGCGAGAGCTCTTGGGGGCACACTGATGTGGGTACTCTGTGTGACTGGACGGAGGTGCTGTTGAGCCTGGACTGGCGCCAGAGCCCAGGTTCCAGGGGGGCCCAGGTGCAGCCGGGCCACTAGCTCTCCGGTTCTGCCGGTTTCTGCACCGAGGGGTTCTGTTTTTCCAAGAAGTGAAAGAACAGCGGCTAGTGCCTGGCGGCTTTGATCTTGTTGCCCGCAGGCAGGGGCGGAGGGTGGAGAGAGGGCAGGATGGGACTTCTGTGTGGGTGAGTTGGGGGTGGGGAGACAGGATGAGACTCCAATGCGGGCACGGGACCTAAGTGGGATAGGACTGGATGGGCCGTGTCGGGTGCGAACTGCACTGCGGTGTGGCCCCGGGCTCTGCTCCTGACTCCCGCTCCCCTCTCTGACTCAGTCTGCACCCCACAAATCTCCCTCCCTCACTGTTGCAAAAGAAATACATGGAGGAAGTGGGCCCAGGAGCAGTCCTGGGCTGGAGACCTGCGGACCACAGGCTTCCCTGCCCAGGGAAGTGCAAGAGTGACCAGGCCGAATCAGCTGGAGCCCAGCCCTGTGGCCAGGTTTCTTCAACCTCACTGTCATTTCCGTTCCCAGGGTCTCCTGCCCAGGAGTCTCCTGCCCAGGGTCTGAGACCTGGGGGTCGTAGTACTTCCTATGCTTTTTGTTCCGTATTCACGTGTTCATCTATCTAACCAACTGCTTTCTTACCTAAACTGAGGGATTAGAGTTGACAAGGACAGTCTGTCCTCCCGGGGGCTCCGTGGCTGATGGAAGAGATAGACACGTGAACAACTTCTGGGAAAAGATAAGCTCTAGAGAGGCCTGCTAGAGGGACCCCGGGAATACGGGCGGGAGGGCCGGCCTCTGCCTGGGGACTGGCAGAGGCGAGAGGGAGACACGTTTCCAGAGCACCACTCAGGTGCCCAGAAGCAGCCCCCGACATGAACCCGACCTGGGCGTGAACAGTACACAGGCCTGGAGTGGGGGCAGAGCCCCAGCTGGTGTTGTCTGGAGCAGGAACAGGGTTTTTTTAAGGGTTTCTCCACCAGCACCTCCACCCGCCATCAGCTTCAGTCTGGCCGTGAGTAACGCCCTGCATCTCCAGGCTGTGGGTGGTGACTCAAGGTCATTCTAGAGTTGCTTTCACAGAGGTAGCATGTCCAGATCACGACAGACAGTGGTCCCCCCGCCGTCTCTCTGGCTAACCTCGCACGGGGTGCTTGACCCCTTTGGACATTCATTTTCAGTGGGCCATTGAACAAAGGGCTGTGTGCTGAGATAATCACCACAAAATGACGTATACTATCAAAAGATTAGAAGTGACCAAAATGTCCCAAATTAGGTGGATAGGAGACTAACTAAACAACTTACAGTGTTGATATAATGTAACATTATGCAATCCTCTATGAACTGGGCTAAAGAAATTTTAGTGGTTTAAGAAGTGGGACACAAAATTACTATGAACTGGAGTAAAAAAGATATTTGCATAGAAAAAAAGATAGGGAAATGTACCAAAATGTTCATTGTGGTTGTGAGTAGTTTTTATTTGCTTTTATTTATTTTGTCTGTATTTTCCAAAGATGTAATGATGACGATGCTTACCTTGTATAATGAACTAAAATCCAAGTGGGGGTGGTGTGAGTTTTCATTTTTTTGAATGTGGACTGAGCAACCAGAGAACAGTGACGAGGAGGGCGGGGTGTCATCAGGGCTGTCCACCCTGGGGAAGGGGTGAGGGGTGCACGGCAGCTTCTATAGACAGTCAAAGGGAACTGTGGCTGCTGGGGAGGCCTGGCTCTGCGCTCCTTGAGAAGACAGAAGTGCAAGCAACGGGTGAGTGTGTCGTCATGTGAGTTATAGGTCAGTAGAAAGAGAGGCTGTTAATGAAGAGTAAACAACTTCACGGCTGTCCCTGGAGGCCGTGAGCAACCCAGCACTGGGAGAACCCGGTGGAGGCTGCGTGGGAACCATGTGTCAGCAGTGCTGGAGAAGAGACCGGACCACGTAGCCTCTACCAAGAAGGGTCTTCCAACTCCAGCTCTTGGTGATTTTTTTCAGTGCAGACTCTGTGCTAGTCATCCCAATGATCCTTTTATGGACCAAACTGTATCACCGCGGAGGGGACGATAGCCTATCCACGGGATATCCAGGCAGAAGTGTACAGCCGGGAAGAGAAGGGAGGCAAAACCAGGAGCACATTGATCTGCGGGTCCTGCTTTTTCCTTGTCGTTGTTCAGACAAGCCTCACTTGTGACTCACAGTGTTGGAACCAGTCATTGGCTGCGTGACGCACTGACATATTGGTTGACCCTCTCTTGTCCTCAGGACTAAGTGATCAGTGCGTGGGCAACACTGATGTAATTAACAGGTGGTGTTGGCCCTCAAGTAGCTTACAGTTAAGGTCCAAAACAGGCCTATGCGAGAAACAGAGCCAAAGTGAAAAGGGGAAAATAAGAGTAAAAGCAGTGTGCAGGGAGTCATAAAGGAATGGCTCCTATTCCACGGAAGAGAATCGGAGGGTGGGGGGCTCCACGGGAGACCTCACCAGACTCAGAGTCCGAAGGATGAGGTGGAGGAGAAGGGCATTCTTGGCTGCAAGCTCTCTGGTGCTCAAAGGCATGACGGTGTGAGAACAGCCCCTGGATGTGGAGTCTTCCATAGCTGCTAGAATGGAGGGTTGGTGGCATTTGCAGTGGGAAGGGGGGCTGGAAGGACAGGTTGGAGCCAGTTTATAGAGTGCAAGCCTGATCCTGGGGTGTTTGATAATCAGTGAGGATTTCTGAGCACAGGAGTGTGATGCTTCCCTGCAGCAGCAGTAAAGATGAATGAGAGGCCCTACAGGTTTGACTCCAGGATTCTAGTAGGAGGTGACTCAAAAAGATGATGGGGCTCTAAGCAGAGAAGTCCTGGCGGGAGTGGGAATGGGGTCAAGGGTTGCAGAGACAGACATGTCGGAGACACAGCTGGCTGAGCCTTACCACTAGGAAGGACTGGAGGATGGGGAGGGAGAGGGAGAAGAGCGTGGGAGCTGCTGAAGATGGCCAGGGCCGTACGTTTGCCGGCCACCGTGTTCATGCCGTAATCCTGGGAGCCTCCTCAGGCTCTATCTTCCTGTCCCTAAAATACTTACGTCAGCTTAGAACTGGGAGATCCTGGCAAGTTACTGCGTTTTCCTTGTCTTAGTAACTGAACTACTTCATTTCTTACCTTGACATATAGTCTTGAGTTCTTCTCCCTCAAGAAACAGCCTTATTCTTTCCCACCCAGCTTCAAGCTCCTTAATGGAGGGTCCAGAGCACATACTGGTCACCGGGCAGGTGTAGGCCTGTCAAAACACTACACCAATTTGCACGACTCGAAGGTCTTGACCAATAACCTGACCCTTACTTCTGCCCTTCCCTGGCAGAGACTTGACCTCTGAGGACCAGATTGTGCTGCTGAAGTCAAGTGCCATCGAGGTCATCATGTTGCGCTCCAACCAGTCCTTCACCATGGATGACATGTCCTGGACCTGTGGGGGTGAGGACTACAAATACCGCATCAGTGATGTGGCCAAAGGTGAGTCTGGGCTCTACCTACACCCTCTCTATCTCCCAGTCTCTGATTCTACCGATCCTGGGGTCAGGAGCCCTCATTAGGCAACAGCACGGAAAAAGGGGAAGGGTCAGGCCTGGTCAGGGTTGGACGTGGGATGGGCTGCGATGGGTGGCTCCTCAGTTCTGCCCACAGCTTCTGGCCATTCTGTCTCACAGCCGGACACAGCTTGGAGCTGATCGAGCCACTCATCAAGTTCCAGGTGGGGCTAAAGAAGCTGAACTTGCATGAGGAAGAGCATGTCCTGCTCATGGCCATCTGCATTATCTCTCCAGGTATGCTGAGGCCTAGCGGTGAGGAGCTCAGGGACCTGGGACGTGAGAAGTATGAAAAATGAAGCCCTGCGGAGGGCCAGCAGGACAATCTTGAGGGATAAGTGAGCAAGAGGGCAGAAAGAGCAAGAAACACCCTCGTTGCTGGGTTTGCAAAGCCCATATGGTGTCTGTATACTGAGGCCATTGGTGATTCATAGGTAGGATTCTTAGGAACCAGATAGATGGGGTTTCTCAGGCCACAGACAAGCCTGGATATTCCCAATATTCAGGCTTTGCTTTTGTGTGAACTGGACTGAACTTCCTTGACACTTGAGGACACTTGAGGGGGACAGGTTAGAAAAGACCCTGGGGCCTGGTGGATGGTTCTGCCCAGACAGTTTACCCAACTAATTTTGGAGGCAGTGTGCTGTGATCTATGAGCTCGTCTACCTGCTTGGGGTGATGAGAGGGAGGCAGGCTGAGGAAGAGGTTGTTGTGATCCCAAGGATGCTGTATTGGTGACGAGGCCCAAGATGAGGCAGCCCTGCCTCAGCCTGGACTGTACTCAGAAAAAGTGAGTGGGCTCTACCCAGTGATGCTTTCCTGGGCTTGGGAACCAAAGAATGGGCATGGGCTCACTTCCCCTTTGCAGCCAGCATTCACTCATTTGTTCTTACATACACTCAGCAATAATTTATTGAGCACCTACTAGGTATGAGACACTGTGCTGGGCATGGCGATTCAGTAGCCCACAGGACTTCTCCCCTATGAAGTGTAATAAGAGACATTAAACAAATACTATTTAACAATTAATTTATAATATGACAAGAGTTTTAAAAAGGTAAAGAAGTACATGATACTATAGCTGGGTATAACAGAAAGAGGGAACCTGATGTAGTCTGGGGCATGGAGGTAGGAAGTCATCAGGAATGGCCTTCTTGAAGGTCTTTTAAGCTGTTATCTGAATGATCAGTAAGAATCAGGCAAAGATAAAGAGCTGAGCTCCCGGCAGAGGGAACATTAATATGAGTCTGGAGGCCAGAGGGCATGTTGCGTCAGAATCCTAATGGAAAGATGGACTGTAGAGATAGAGGGAGGGAGAGAAGGTGGGGACAGGGCCAGATGGGTCCATGAAAGGACTTGAGGCTTGACCCTAAATGCAGTGGATAGTAGTTGAGGGGCTTTAAGAAGGGCTGTGAGGTCGCAGGTCAGCAGCCATGCAGGGGTGACTGAGGAGGATACTGAAGTTGGGTGTCTGCCTCTGTGGACGGAGGGGTGGTGGGGACATGGGACAGTAAGGACCCAGCTCAGAGCTCCTCTGCCTCCTCGTCCTGTCTCCATGTGCCCACAGACCGTCCTGGAGTGCAGGATGCTGCACTGATTGAGGCCATCCAGGACCGCCTGTCCAACACTCTGCAGACCTACATCCGCTGCCGCCACCCGCCCCCAGGCAGCCACATGCTCTATGCCAAGATGATCCAGAAGCTGGCTGACCTGCGCAGCCTCAACGAGGAGTACTCCAAGCAGTACCGCTACCTCTCCCTGCAGCCCGAGTGCAGCATGAAGCTCACACCCCTCGTGCTGGAGGTGTTTGGCAATGAGATCTCCTGACTACAGCAGCCGGTGATGGTGCCTGGGTGGGGCTGCTCCTCTGGGAACCTGGGCCTGGGCCTAAGGCTGGCTGCTGCCCGGCAGCCCTTCCTACCCACTCTGGAGTACAGCCCCTTCTCTCCCACCTCTTCTCCCTGTCCTGCCCGTCCTCTCTCCTGCCCAACCTAATACCAGGCCCCTGCTACCTGGAGGCCACAGGCTGACCCCAGTCATCAAGACCTCAGTTGTGAGGAGTTGTGTTTATTTGACAGGACTGAAATGGGGGCAGAGGGCAAAGGCTAAAGGTGGGGCCTTACCTGTTAATCCCAGAAGTAGTTGCTGGCTGGTGCCCAGGGATTAGGCAGGCAGGAAAAATATTCCTCAGGGAGAGATACCTGGACCTTCCCCCAGTTCAGGTCCATTTGTCCAGACCCTGGTGGGGATCCCTCTCCCCTTGCTCTACCCATGATCAAGAACTGGCCACCACCCCCACTTTACCCCCACCTCGTCCTGCCTCCGCGCTGTGCGTTCTGTTCCAGGGCACCGCGCCTCGATGGGGCCTTCCCCCCCTGCCTTCCTCTCCCTGGCCCGTCTAGGAAACTCACTGCCAAGGATGACCAACACCAGGGTGACTGAGCTCAAAGTCACCCTTTACCCACCTCTGCTGGCCAAAGTGCACTTGCCTAACCCCCGGACCCCACCTTCGTCCCGTCACCATGGTAACATTCTCCTTGAAAGCAGCTATGGTGAGGGGGCTTTCTCCCCATGGCCCACAACCCACCTGCTCAGAGACCCAAGGAGGGAAGAAAGCAGGGCCCAGGTGGTGGGGGACAGGCAAAGCCAGCCTCATAGAACAATGGTGGATGGTGGCCCCAGCTGTCCCTGTCACCAACCCCATGGCTTCGCAGCCTGGATCTGAGAGTTAGTTGAGGCAGGAGCTTTTCTTCCAACAATCTGCATGGCAGGACTGAGTTGCCCCCAGGTTGCAGGAAAGCAATGGGCACCACCCTCCCCCGCCCCTGCCAGTGCCTTACCTCCCACCCTAGAAAGAGAACCTGCCGCAGGCTCCGGGGCCCTCCCACTCTGGCCGCAGATGCTGTTGGGGCTCCGCTCTAGGATGGCCAAGGGTGACCCAGAGACTGGCCCAGTCTCCCAACCGCCTCACAGTCCAGAGAAGCAGTGCCCGCTCTGCTTACCAGTGGGGCCACGTCTTTTCCAGCTGGTGGGATGGGATGGAGGTGATGAACTCCCAGACCCCAACAGCCTAGGGCACACCCTCCCTGCCCACCTAGGTGTAGTTCTCAGGCGGCTGTTCCCCCAGAAACCCAGGAGCTGGTGCTCCAAGACCTCAGGGTGTGGACCTCAGGGAGAGTCAGAGCGCATTTAGGGGTGGAGTCCTGTGGGGCTGGTCCCCTTCTTATTCTCTCTCCACCACCCAAAGTCAGAAGGAGCCCTGGGGGCAGGGTGGGAGGTGGGGCGTATAACTTCAAACTCCACGTTCTTCATAGCCAGACCCCCCCAGGAGGTGGAAACTCCAGGTCTGTTCACTCCGGGGTGGAGTCTCTTAGGGAGTGAGTTGTAGGTGTGTGGGACCAAGGCCAAGAGGGTTCTTCCGGGACCCTGGGAGTTTGGGGAACGTGGCCATATTCCATGTCTTGTCACGGAGGAGTTCACGTCAGTAGGATGTCCCTCCACCTGCCTCTGTCGTCCCCGGGGAACCCGGGAGCGACAGGACTTGCCAGGGTCGTCGGTGTCCTCAGGCGGGAGGATGTGCCACAGCCTGTTCCTGAGGACGGAGTGCCACCCTTGTGGCCGAGCCTTGTGTTCATTAGATATGAGTTGTTTTTAGAATCAGACTCCATTTTGTACTGCATTCTAATGTAGCGGGTAGTAGGCACCAATGATTAAGAGATATTTATGGGGGGGAGAACTTATATTGTGAAAATTCTATACATTAATTATTATTGCTGTTGTCGTTGTTTTAGAAATTAGGGGCAGACCCTTGTTGTTTGATTTGAGCTGTAAAATATATTGGTCTAGCTTGCTATTCAGTGGGGAAAAAGGGTTAAAAATCGCTAAAGTCATCCAACCCCGTTTTTAAAGAGCATCGGCACTCGGAGGAGGCGCCACTCACCCCAACCCGTGTAACTAGTTCGAAGCAGCACCGGCCTGGACCCAGGCGCTGGACCTGTGGTCCTGCCCCCTTTTCACTGCGCTTGCGCCCAGACCCCACTTCCCATTTCTGAGCCTAGTCTTTGAGGGAAGTGCTAGATTTTAGGCAGAGCACATCTAGATCCCACCACCCTGCCTTCTTTCCCTGAGTTGCCACCTCACTGACCCATCAGGAGGGTGGGGGACACCTCAGCTTGTGTCTCAATGTGAATCAGAGCTCCCCCACCCCCCAGTATGGCCCTGGCCAGGTGGGATCTCAATGTTGTTGCCTTATCAGTAAAGTCTTTGTGACGTCTCCACCTTCCCAGCTCTTCCAGGCAACTGTCGACTGGCCCCGCCTCCTCCAGGCATCCCCAGCAGACACAGGGACAATGCCAGTTCTGCAGCCCTGGGCCCGCCGAAGCCCTGCCCATTCCCAGAGGGAAGTTTGGGAGCTGGGAGGGGCAAAAGAGAGGAACAGCGAGGGTCTCAGGGCTGAATTGGGAGGAAATATGATTATCACTTATTTTGCTTTGGAATGAGAGAAGGTGAAGGTGGATGTTTATAAATCTAAACCTTTTAAAGAATATTACTAGAAACCCTGGAAAGTGTGTGCACCAAAATGCCAAATAAACAAGACCCCAGGAGACAGCTGCTGCTGCCTAACTGGAAACAAGGGGAGAATCCAAGTGCGGCCAGCAGAGAAGACTGGAATGTATGAGACTCAGTGAAAGCTGGGAATGACGAGGCAGAAAAGCAGACTTTAAAGAGTGCCTCCTGCGTTATTTCCAAAGAATAAAAAATGTTTGCCAGAAATAATGAAGAGAGCTTTGCTTATGGTAATAAAGAATGGATCATATTTACATAGCACTTACTTTGTGGCAAGTACTGCTGTAAATAAATGCTTTATGCAGACCAAGTCGCTTTATTCTTATAAGGACCCCAGGGGAGTGGACTGCCATCACCCTCATTTGTCAGAGGGGATAACTTGCCCAAAGCCACACTGGTGCAGAGATGGAATTTGAACCCTTGGCGGCTGGCTCCAGAAGCCTTTAATGAACTACTACACTGTGCTGTTTCCTCCTGAGTGGAGTGACCCGACAGTCACAGTCTGGCCAGCTGTCTACCCTGGAGCATGTAAGGGAGATGCCCCTCCCTAACGGAGGCCCTGAGATGGGAGAACTGGAGGGGCTGGTTCCATCAGTGCTCAACTCTCGGGATGCATCCAGTCATAGGGACGGGCTCCCATCAGGAAGGGCAACCGAGCAGTCTTGGGAAAATGTGTCTTGTCTTCGAAATGGCTGCTGTGCCAGTGACGGAGGATCGCCAATGACTTCTGCGCATAAACAGGATTCCTGAGGGACCCAGAGGACCCGATTCACCCAGCTCTGCTTCCCAAGGAAGTGGGGTTTATGATACAGGGAAGCATCGCTAAACACAGCACAAAAATAACCCACCAAAACACACGGTAATCTGCAAGTGGCAAAGTCGTGCCCAGACTGTGGGTATATTTAGGGTAAATTGGCCTGGGAACCTGGGGATGTGATTTACTTTACCAAAGTATCTGCAAAGCTGTCCAAACTACAGGTTTTAAACCGAGTGTGTCGTTGGGGGTGAGGTGGGAGTAGAAGAACTGCGGGCAGGGCTTGTGGGCTGTTTTGTCATGAAAAAACAGATGGACTTAGAAACGGCTGCTTAGATGCATGGGTCTCTGGCAGGAGAATTGTGAAGGTGAAATTCCTAGGAGCTGTTAGGAGAATCTTATTTAGCATTTTATAGATGCTCTGGAAGAACAGAAAGTCTCCAAGCCTGTGGGTTACAGTAAACTTTTTCAGGTAAGCTGAGAGGAATGCCCCTGGAAAACCTTATAATTAGGATAACGTGATTTTAAGTTTTCACATTCCAAGCTCTGGTTTTACCCGTATGCTGTTCAATAAAGTAGCCATGTGTGATTTTTTCAATGAATTAAAATGAAATAAAAGCAAACATTTAGCTCTTCAGACACACTAGCCCCATTTCCACTACTCAATGGCCCCAGGGCTCCCGGAATCGACAGTGCAGACACGGAACATTTCTGTCGTGGCAGAGAAGTTCTGTGGGGCAGCACTGGACTGCTCAGCACCTGCTCGCCTGGTACTCATCGTGGATCATATGCTCCTGTCGATCTGCTGGGCAGATAACCGCCAAAGTGTTCAACCTCACCTAGAAGGGACATAGCGAATCTCCTCCCTTTACATCAAGTGATGCTGCTACTGGATGCTGCGAACAGGTCTCTCAAAAGTGGCAGAAAGGGAAAACATCTCACAAGGCCGTGAGGCAGAAACAGGTCAGTGGTGTGCATGGACACACCGATTCTGGGGCCAAGCCAACAGGGCCTGCCTGGAGTGGCTGGAGCCCCCAGGACTATATCTCAGCTTCTGCTGGAGCTCCTTGGAGGCTGTCTGTGCGGTGTGGGGTCTTCCAAAGGGGATGAATGACATCTCACGCTCTCAGCACGTCTAAGGGGATGCCCGCCAACATCCTATCAGACATTAGCTCTCATGTGGGCAAGAAGCCTGTGAAGCTGCTGAAGGTGTCTGTGCTCCAAGTGACCAAGAAGCACAGCAGGGTGTGCAGCAGTGGCTGCTGGGGGCATTCGGGAGGTGGGGGGCCCTGCTGCAGGCAGCTGCTCTGAATTTCTATTCAGCCATGTCATACATTATACATGAGGTAATGTTGCAAGTTGGGTTCCAGGTTCCGAGGAAGCTGACTCTGAAAAGCAGGTTGAAGTGCAAGACGTTTACTGGGGAGAAGGTCACCAGCTCTGGTGGCAGGGAAGGAAGTAGCATCAGGTAGAGAGGGGACAGTTGGGCTGCCGTCCCTTTTCTGCAGAGGTCTCCACCAACCCTCATGGGAATTCTGAAACTGGGATGGCCCTTGCCAAGTTTTTTTTGTTTGTTTGCCTTTTTTAAAATTACATTTTATTGATTATACTATTACGGTTGTCCTGATTTTTCTCTCCTTGCCCCCTCCACCCAGCATTCCCCACTCCCTCAGGCAATCTTCCCATCAGTGTTCATGTCCATGGGTCATTCACGTAAGTTCTTTGGCTACTCTATTTCCTACAGTGTACTTTACATCCCCATGGCTATTCTGTGACTACGTATTTGTACTTCTTAATCCCTTCACCTCTTCACCCATTCTCTCTGTCCCCATTCCCATCTGTCAATCATTCCTTAATTCACTTATTTTCTCTTCTTTTAAGAATCTCTCTTTATCTTTAGGCCTATTAATTATGATGTGTATGGAGTGGGAGTCTTTGCATCCATCATAATTAGGACTCTCTGTGATTCTTGGACTTGCATGTCTACTTTCTTCACCAAATTCTTTTCCACGGTTCTTTTTCACAATTTTTTTCTAATAGATTTCCAATGTCTTGCTCTTTCTCTTCTCCGTCTGGCACACCTATGATGTGAATGTAGGACTTCTTGAAGTTGTCCCAGAGGCTGCTTACACTATCCTCATTTGTTTGGGTTCTTTTTACTTCTTGTTGTTCTGCGTGATTGTTTTTTGCTGCCTTATTGATTTGATTCTTGGCTTCATCCACTCTACTGTTATTTCCCTGTAAATTGTTCTTTGTTTCAATTAGTGTATCCTTCATTTCTGCCTGGGTCTTTTTTATGCTGCTGAGGCCCTCACTAAGTTCCTTGAGAATCCTTATAGATAGTGTTTTGAATTCTGCATCTGATAGATTGCTTATCTCCATTTCATTTAGCTCTTTTTCTGGAGTTTTGATCTGTTCTTTTATTTGAGCCATTTCCCCCCCTCATTAACGCAGCTTCCCTGTGTTTGTTTCTATCTACTAGGGAGAACTGCTATGACTCCCTGTCTTGGTAGCATGGCCTAATATAGTAGGTGTCCTGCAGGGTCCAGTGGACCACCCTCCCCTATCACCAAGCTGGGTGCTGGAGGTGCACCCCCCATGTGGGCTGAGTACACCCTCCTCTTGTAGTTGAGTCTTGGTTGCTGTTGGCAGGTCAATGGGAGGGATTTATCCAGGCCAGTCAGCCGCAAGGACTGGCTGTGACCACAGACCACTAACCTCTGAGCTCTGTGGAGGATCAGCTGTGCAGGGGCAGGGTGGAGGTACTCCCACATGGTCTAAAGCTGTTCACCAGGTGTGCTGGCCCTGATTTTTCCTGGGTGTTGCAGGCCAAGGTCAGCCCCCACTTGTGTTTTGCAAGGGGCCACCCTGCCTGAGCTGTAAAGCAGTCTGAGATGGCTGCTACTTGTGCTGGGCTTGGAGCTTCCCAGGTGGAGCCAAGCCGTGACTCTAATCTGGCTGCCGCTAGGGCTCACTGAAGACAGCTGCTGCTTGTTTGATAGGATTTAGGAGCCAAGACCAACCATTTTTATGGAAAAGCAGCTTGGGTGGGCCATTAAATTGGGTGGGGCAGAGCCTCTGAGGATCTCCAAGGCAGGTCACACAGTGTTAGCCAGGTTGATGGAGTCTCCGGTATAGCACCAGTTTACCAGCTCTGTGGGGGGAGAGGTCAGCAAAGGGACAATGGCCTCTGCTCACCCCGATGCCAGACACTTCAGTTTCTCCCTGTATACCACTGGTCCCTTTTAAACTGCTACCTGGGTGCTGGAGCCCAGAGGGAGCGAGTCTGAGTGGGTGTGTCTGTGGGTTCTTTAGATGGAACTGCTTAGGGCTCCAGAAGTTTCTCCCACCAACTAAACTCCCACTGTTTTTTGCAGCAAGAAGTTGTGGAGACTTATCTTCCTGGCACTGGAAAGCTGGGGGGCCTGATGTGGATCTCGGACCCCTTGCTCCAGAGATATCCCCCCCCTGAATTTTTATCCAGCCCAGTCCATGTCTGCGCCCCGACAATCAGTCTGGATAGATGTGGGTTTTTTTAGTTCCATAGTTGTCAGACTTCCATGCAACTCAATTTCTGACGTTCCTGAGTGATGGTCGTTCCGTATTGTAGTTGTAACTCTGATGTGCTTGTGCGAAGAGGTGAGCCGCGTCCGCCTGTGCCGTCATCTTGACCGGAAGCCCCCGCCCAGTTTTTATATTCCTTCATCAGCTAGCCATGGGATGTTTCCCGGTAAAGAGTATGACCTTCATGTGACCTTCATGAGCTAGGTGGCTCTTTTCAGCCCAGGGCGAGTAGGACTGAAGGTTGTTTTCACGTTTTTGTACAACCAGGTGAGCCCTTTCCTAATGGGCTGCTCTGCTTTGGGGAAGGATTCCAAGCCCCTCCCTGGGGCTCTAGGTAGGCAGACATCAGAAATCCGGGGTATTTTTAGCTTCTCCCTTGTTCTGGACAGTTCTTTTCCTAAATCATCTTGAGTTCTACCACTAGGTGGTGCTACTGTCTTGTCGGGACAGGTTTGAGGACAGGCCTCCAGCTTGTCCTCTCATCCCCACTCCTGCCCTTTCTCTATTCTGTGGAGCCTAGTCCCTGACACTATAGCCACTTGGTGGTGTTCACCTCTCCTCACACCAGCAACCGAACAGAATGTGTAAGGGACCTGTTCTCTGGCTTCCCAGGTCACCTCTGGGGTCATAGCCAGGGAAGCGTCTGACATGCACATTAGCCAAGGGCCCTCTTAGTCTGAGCTCTGGCGCCTGGGCCTCTGAGCACCTTTCATGCCGGCCCCAGGCTCCCTCTGAGGTCCAGCCTGGTCGTGCGGTCCTTCCGGTGTGTCCAGGCACAGACACAGCACTGAACTCTGTGCTGGGGATGCAGTGATGACTTAAGGCAGTCACCGCCCCCTGAAAAAGGCACAATCCAGTCTGTGGCAGAAGACAGACTACCAACAGACCATCACTAAGCAGTACAAGCAGAAGCCACAAAGCATAACATTTCACAGCGTGAACTGCTGGGTGTCTGTCCTGGCTCTGCCACTTGTTACTTGTATGACCTTGAACAAATTACTTAATGTTTTTGAGCCTCAGAATCTTCGTCTCTACAACAGCAACAGTAAGAGTACTTAACCCCAGGTTTGCTGGGTGATGTAACCTGTGAGAAGCATTTATCACACCACCTGGAGGCCGCCATCAATCACAGATGCTGGCTAACATCATTATTACATTGCAGAGTGGAGACACATTTTCATCGGGAGTTGACACTGCCCTCCTCCTCTCACTGCTGATCCTTGTGGGGCCCTCTGGACTGGCCCCAGCCGAACTCTTAGGTCTGTCTGTGCAGCTATGGGCTCTGCTCCATGAGTATCCGCCCCAGCGGGGGACGGCACCATTGTGCCACCTGGCCACCAGGGGGCAGGTGTGAAATTTTATAAGCCAAACAAGCCCCAACTGAAACAGCCCAGCTCGGAGAGAAAAGTGTGGGAAAGGGATAGGAAAGTAGACACACAAAACTGAAACATGTGGACCTCTAGTTAATACTCCCCACAACTTCTTTCAATTACGGTTTTTCTTTGCCAGCTTTGCTCCCTCAGTGACTGCCGCCATCCGACTCCGCTGCCCACAGAGCCAACCCATAATTAACGCCAGAGTTCTCAGGTGGGAAGCGGGAAGCAAAATGAGCTGCAAAGGTCAGGTTTGCTCCATGTATTTGTGGTATCATTGTTTTCATTTTTACCCCAGCGCTTACTGGACCCTTGCTCCTTTGGCAAACTATAAAGCCCACTATGGTCGGGTCAATGTGCTCCTCCGGGGTCACATGTCACTGTCCAGGCATTGAAACCGAAGCCACTGACTCCTCCAACCATTTGCAGGTCTCCCACCGAGGCCCTCCATGGGTCCGTGGTTCTCAAGCCAAAAAATGACACTGTGGGTTATTATATCCCTCCCTGTTTACCATGTTAGAAGTTTGAATTAAGAACTTTGAAAAAATATTTTAATAATAATAATAATAATGAACCCACTATAATGATATTATAAGTTAACATAATTTTTTATTAAAACAACCTTCTTTCCAAAGCAGAACACATTTAGCGACAAGAGAGTATGGTTTTACAGTCTTGCGAATCTCTTCAATGTCTGGCTTACTGGAAGGCGGCTAGGTTCTCATATCTGGTTCTGCGTTCCATCTGCTAGGATATCACACACCACGGGGCCTCTGGATAATGCCTCTGTACACAAGTGAGGGAATGAGGGTACAAAGGAAAATGGAAATAGTTCGGCCACGCAGAACCCCTAAACGGGGCTCAGGGTCCCAGACTGCACTGTGAGTCCCATACAGGACATTTTACATGTTGTTTTCTTGGCCTGACATGCCCTCTGCTGGCTTTGTCTCCCCTAGTTTGCTCAGTGGTCAGACCCCCCACTACCCCTTCCATTTCCCGAGGCTTCCAGCCTCCCATGAACTCTCCCCTGAACTTCACTGTGCCGTACCCCTGCTTGCCACATCCGAGAAGGCTTGTGCAGCCACCCTGTTGTAGAACGAAGCATACACCGTAGTGGGTTTTAAATTTCTGTCCTGCCTTGGGGCTCCCTTCCAGACTGGAACAAAGGAGGGAGGGACTCCACAAACGCGGCCGGATAAACGGCCGAAGGAGTGAATGAATACAAGGCTGCATGCCGCCCACGCCTGTTTGCATCTAAAAGATCTGATCTTCACAAGAGATGTCAAGTTTAAAACATTCTCCTTGGGTCTCTACTAGAAAATGAGATGCAAACAGACTTATGCAAATTTAAACACCTTCCCCTGAACTTCGGAAACTGAGAAGTTGAGTCCCTGTGGCTTCAGAACCCACAGGCTAACTAACTACCTCTCCCTAAAGCATCCGCCACATCTCCCTCATTCTGCACGTGAACAGTTTCCTTTTTGGACCAAAATGTAGAGTGAGCATTTTTCCCCTATTCGTACCTGTCTGATTTGATTTATCCCACATTGCAGCCTGCCCAAATCTCGGAATCCTCATTTCGCCATCCAAATTCTGACCATCCCTTCTGGCCTCGCATCTCCCAAAATTGGGTTCTG